TTTCCAATTCGGACAAATAAATATTTTATACATAAATAAATATATTTTAAAATAATAGTTAAAATATTCCTGCAACAATTAGAGTTTTTACGATTAATATTTGAATTGAGTATTGCTAGGTTAAGTTTAAAAGTATAAGATGATTTTTGAAAATGTGGTCTAATGGAGAAAATAGAAGAATAAGATATATTTGAATTTGAGATGGGACTTTTTTTTAATATGATAAGAAAAATTATATTTAAGAATATGAGCAATAGAGTCAAAGTTACTATTGAAATAATTATATTTATTATTTATATTATATTAAAATGAATGCGATAAAAGTGGATATTAAATTCAAGTAAACTAATAAAAAAAACCTTAATAATATTAAGTACTGAATATACAATAGCAAAATTAGAACAAGCAGAGAAAAATCAAAATTTCTATCATAAAGAACAAAAAAGGATAAAACTTATTTAAATTTGATATAAAAAAGTTTTTTTAAGTATGATAAAAAAAAAGGTCATGATGTGGACAAGGCCACATAACTGAAGTTTAATAGATTAAAAAAGTTAAAAAATATCAAAATATTAATAAATTAGAGATAATGCGAGGTTATTTATACTAAGAAGTAGTTTTAAAATAAAGTAAATATATAATGCTTAAAAATATTATTATTGAATTTAAACTATTTAATAATTTTGAGTATTAATTTTAAATAAAATAAATATTTTTTTCAATATTAAAAAATCATACATCGATTTATATAATAATATTAAAGGATATAAATAGATTATGATATTAAATAAAGAGGTATGTTAATGAAACCCACATAAGAAAATAAAATACTACATATTAGGTAACTTAATAGCAATAATCAAAAATTTATAAATATTTAATATTAGAAATAGAAGGGAAAGACGATTTGAACTTGAGATTTAGATTAAAATTATGGTGAATACGCTCAAAATATGAATAGGACAACAAATTAAAATTTTACTAGATAAAAAACTAAAAATTGGATAACAAATTAAATCCAAGGAAATACAAAATAAATATCTCATGTGGGTAATTTTATGAATGAAAATTAAAGTCTAATTTGTATCATAACGTTAAAAGAGAAAGAAAATTTAATTACATGTGATACAAAAAACAATTATAATAAAATTTAATAGATTTAAAATATAATAAGAAAAAACTTATCTATTAATATTTTAAAATAATTCAAAGTTATAACTTAAAATAAGACATGATATTATATATTTTGTTTATTGGTAAAATATTAATGTAAAAAACTAATTAAAAATTCATAGTAGGGAAGAGGATGTATAAAGAGGAAAATAGAGATAGTGTGAGAATATTTATACTTTGAATTAATTAAGTATAAGGAAATTAAATAATTAAATAATACTCAAAATATTATTGAAAGATTTAAATGAAAAAAGAGTTCCAAGTAAGAGGATAAAAGTACAAAAATAAATTAACTTTTAGGAATAAAAAAATTTATATTTATATATGTTTATCAAAAGGGCAATAAGCAAGATATCAAGTCAATTGGTAAGCTAATAAAAGATTACATGAATATAACATTATTAAGTAATAGATAATGCAATAACTAGAAGCAAAGATTAAAGAAAGAGTTGTTTTGGGTGAAAATGTAGAAGGATAAGACTTATTCGAATTTGCGGTGAAACATAAAGTGATAGTAAGAATTTTGCTAAATAATATGCTCAAACAAGACATATCACAAATGTGATATGTTTAGTATTATTTAATATTGACCATAAAATAAAATACAAGTACTAAATCAAGGAGTATTGTTACAGATATAAAATAAAAATAAAAAGGAACATGTTATTTGGAAATTTTAAATTTTAAGATAATTCCAATAACTCAATTTATAATTTAATATTTGTGTCCGCGCATCGCGCGGGTACTAATACTAGTTAAATTTAATAAGAAAACACTGGTAAATACTCCTAATATGCTAAGGGGGCGGCTACAATATGTGAACATGCCGGATTTCATTGAGGAAATGATCTCCATATAGATATATGGGTATTAGGCGCGTATGTAAGAGTTCTAACAAGGGGTTCGGTTGCACCTATAATTTTCGATTCGAAATAAAAAATATATGTAAAAGTTTACTATGATTGCAAAAATAATAGATACGAACCCATAACGTTAAAAATATAATGAGTTCAATGTCATAAAATCTTAAAGTTTGAACCCATAAGATTTAAATTCTGGATCCGCCTCATTTCAAGTTTGAAACTTTTTTGGTGCTGTATTAATTGGTGTTATCCAAAGCTCAAAAGTCGTAATTCAAAGAATCATGGCCTCGTGGACGCTAATTCAAACAGCTCGTCACAAAATTCCTAGCAAGCAACACTTATATATATTTACAGAGTTGAAATTTTTGATAGTTCCATTTCTTTGATTTTTCCATAGTTGAAGATTAAAATCTGTCTAAGACCACTCTAAACGCCTCCTCCCTCCACTCCATGTCTATCATAATAGAGTAATTTTTTTTATTAGATATTGAATCTCATAGCTTTTTTGCGTGTTTA